TGTGGTTCCAACAAGGCAACTCCAATCTGACAAACATACGTAGGGGAATGATCCATGCCTCCATTCATGAACTAAACTTGACCAATTACAAGGGTTAACCCCACCCCCCCCCCCAAAAAAAAAAAACACCAACCTCTTCAAGCATAATAAGTAAAAAATAGGATTGACCTGCATGCTAAAAAAAAATATCATTACATTATAAAAGAGCCAGTTGAAAAATTTATTTTGATTTTAAAAAATAAGAATCCAATTACTACATTAGGTATCGGAGGTAGTAACAATTACCACAATGATATATTACAAAATATTTCTAATATAGTTTCTAAATTAAAAGAAAAAAAAATTTTATGCGCAGTTAAATGAATAAATGTTCATTTCTTTATTCATTTGGTTTGACCTATATTTAATTGTTGGAGAACTAGAATAAGAATAATAAATTAAAAAAGGCCGTTCGAACTGACCCGCCAGCAATTCTTTTCTTTTTCTTTTTTAATTTATAAAAAGACAACATATATAAACAATAAAAATTAATGTTTACAGTAATACATCAGAATAACTAGAAATGAAAAATAGCAAAAAGTTCCTAATTAAATCACTATGAGAAGAACAAATATCATAATTTGAAAAGGAGTTGAGCATCATCAAAATTCCTGGTGCAATACTAGGGGAAAATCCTGCATAGAAAGAGTACAAATTGACGAACTTTGTCTTTGTCCTGTGGCTTAAAATTAGTATGTGACAGAATCCAATAAATCATCATACGAAAACAGAGAGCATAGAACCCCGTCGGCAATTTTAATTATTTATATTTTATGAAAAGATGAATAGAAATGAGGCATTGTGCTTCTTTTTTTTTTGGGGAAAAAAAATCAATATATCACAGCGAACCATGGTTATTATTTATTTATTTATTTTTCCTTTGACCGGAAGGGAGAACTTCATCGTATGAAAATCAGAATACAGACACAAAAACAAAAAGAGAACAAAAGCCAACAGACGCCACGAAACTAAAAACAGACAAGAGCTCCGAAGCCCAAACGTTGTGCCATGAACTACGGTTGATTTAACCACTGTTACAATTAACATCATGACATAACTACCTATATTTGTTATAATTGTTTACTTTCTCATATATTAATAATTATGTATGTTATTTAATTCTTGAAGTATGGATATTTGTTAAGACATAGAGTAGTCTTTTAAAATTCAGGAATCAAGTTGTTGATTTATTTTGAAATATTTCAGGGTATGAAATTATGAAATGTATTTTTAGATATAATTGGAGATTTTTTTTTTTCCACATATAGTATGGGTAGGGTGTCACCAATAGAAAATTCACCTTTGCTCAACTTGAAATGTTTAAGGCTTCTACAACTGCTGGTTGTAACCGGCTCATCCTTTAATTTGGACTGAGCATCGAACAGGGGCCCCACCTTGCCTAGGCTTACCAATGAACACCCCTTACCATAACACCAAATTAAAGTGACAATTATTTTGAAATGAAATTGACAAGTTATATCTCGTGTGAACCTGAGGATGAAAATAGGTTCTCAGAAAAGGTCCCAACTTCCCACCGAATAATTTCACTACACTTATATTGTACTACCTCTAGTACTTAATATAATAATCCATTTGCTTTTATTTTGGTCCTGATTATAAGATTTCAATATACTTTGTCTCCCATATTTATCTATTATTTTAAGGTAGTTCTTATGGTAATGGTAGTTCTAACCAATACACTTGATTAGCAAGGATATTTTAGAAAAGATAATATCTATTTATTACAAATAACTAATTTAACTAGCTTTTTTAATCTACTCAAATTAGTCAACTAGTCTTATATTAAGGATCAGAGGTTGTAATTAAAAATAACAAAAATTTATTGTTGATTTTTAATTTAAATCCCTCAACCATGATGCCCAAAAGTTACCCTCTAAAAAGAAGAATATGATCCTTATTATAGGTTCTTAAATGCGATGGCAATTTTGGCCAAAAAAAAAAAAGCGATGGTAATACCTCAACCGAAGAAAAAAAGGCTTGTGAATAAAGCTGGACTATTCATCCAATTTAAATTTATGGTTAATATAAGTTTTCGTCCTTTTAGTTTTGGTTCCTCCAATTTTAAACACATGATTTTAGTCTGTGAAATTTAACTAGTCCATCTTAAAATGTTCATTCCTAAAAATACAACAGTGTTAAAATTAGTTGAAGTGCTGTAGATGTTGTTAAAGTGATATACACACCTCCAGCATAGGCTAAAAATATAAGCAATATTGGCTTATTACACGATTAAGATTCAAGAGGAGGAAAATTTTTATTCAATAGGAAATCATACGTACTCGTATATGGTAAGATGTGAACTAATTACCTGCACAGTTCATGGCCACTCTTTCACCTTCTTGAAATTAAAACATACTAATCAATATTGCGTTTACCAAGGTGGCAATATAATAACTTGTTGCTTCTGGTTTTTCAGCTCTCTCTCACACTTCACTAACTCTTCACACATTCTATATTTATAGGCTTTTCGTATATTCCTTACGTGTTCGTATGGTTTCAGATATTTCATATATAATTGGAGACCAAGGAAAGGATCCTGATTTGTTGCCAAAACAGGGGAAAAAAAGGAAAAAGAAAACAAAATTGACTATTTCTTTTTATAAAAAACACACATTTGCATATCTTTCTGCAAATGGCTTGGATTTGAATTGATGATTACACACACACACAAAAGACAAATCTATCTATATATTTGTTTATAAAAGACAAAACTCTATATATATATATATATATATATATATATATATAGATGAGCAACTGATGCGGCATATCTTCGGCAAACCTCTATTTTTACTAATTTTGCACCAAAGTTCTAAACTAGTACAGCATGTTTGACTGCTGTTTGTGCCTGTTTGGATTTGTGCAAACTGAATACTACAATATGCCCTTGTTCGCTGCAGTAATTTTCAATTAGGCACAACTTAAAATTATATAAACTCTTTGTTAATTCAACCATTAATCAATAGGTATTGATTAACGTAATTATCTTAGCCGTAAGGGTATCAACGTAATTAGGTGCATGTAATCCAATTACGTTACAAAGAGATATTATTTCCGATCACCTCGTATTAACGTTATTCTTGACACGCACGTGAACAATATATTGTGTAGCTTTTCCTAATTATATTAATTTTTTAAGGGAAAAATGAAAGCCAGACTTTTAGTTATGACTCTTTTAAAGTCGTTAAAAGTCGTTTTTATTTTGGTTTAGCAGCTGGCTGCTTGCTTCCTTCATGCTTTAATGTTTATTAAATTATTTTTTCCGATCCAAATTCTGACACAACTCGCTGTGGCTTAATTTCTTAATTTCTTAATGGGGGCAAGGTTAAGGATGATTTACGATGGGTCCCTCCTGGATCTAATCTGATCAATTTTACTTGTTAAGAAAGAACTTCGTGGGATATGATGGAATCTGGTTGTGTTCTAGCTACCACTGGATATACTCTGTTGAATTAGAAAGGCTCTGATGGATATACCCGTGCATGTTCTAAATATGGGCTGATCTACGCACATCTGACTTGGCTAAAAATAAAAGCAGCTGGTTTATTACACATTAAGATTAAGATTCATGAGCAAAAATTTTATTCAGTAGAAAATACATATAGCTATTAGTAGTAAGACATTTGAATTACACACAGTTCATGGCCAATTCTCCACCTTCTTGAAGATGCCTTGACCATAAGTAGAAGAAATTACTTCAACAAGAAGAGGGAATTATAATAATACAAAGTGAGTTACTGGAACACCAGCAAACATAGCAACGGGAAGAAGAGCCCATAACTGTGATGGTTTACTGTGCAACATGATCATTATGGTTGCGGGAAAGGCAATCATCATAGTTAGCTGAGACCATTGTGGCCATGACATTGACGGCTACGGCGATGACGGCGGACATGAAAGAACATCGTCGCCGAAGCCACGACTGTGGAAAAGGACAGGAGCGTAAAACATGACGACGTTGATGCCCGTGAGTTGTTGGAAGAAGGGAATGACAAAACAGAGAGTTAGCTGAGGCCTCTATATATTTAGCTGAGTTCTATTTCGGATCGGCCGATTCAATACTCGAGAATATAACCCGTGCAACTGGCATAATCCAGGATGTCAATAGCAAGCACTTGTCATGGTATATTGATAAATTATTTTTAATTGATAATTTTTTAAACAATAATAGTTTTTTTATATCTTCTAAGCCCCCATTGACATCTGAACGTAGAGAATTATTACATAATCATAAAGTGCCGTACCATGATGTAAATCTTGTCCCTCTCTTCCCTGATCACTGTAATCACCAATTCTCGCAGATTCAGAAATTAAAATACACAGTTCATCCCAGAAAAAACGAATCTTGAACTGTATTAATTTACCTTTAAAATAACAATTTTTTTAATTTTATCTCTATTTAATATAAATACTATTTAAAAAATAATTACTTATACTACAATAACTGATGGACAAGATAATACATCCATGTTAAAAAATCTCAACTGTAACTTTCTGCTTACTGAAATTTCTTATTAGTGATGGAAAAATGCTCATGAATAAAATTAGACTGTTACACTTTTTATTAATTTAAAATTAAATGGTTCGACTTTATTTGGGTTATTCAAACTATAATAGGCGCATCATATCTTGTAATAGGCCCATGTATCCTGATATATTTCCAAAAGCACGATTATTGGAGTTTTTGAGAAAATGGAGATTTGGGATGAAGCAAACTAGCTAAAAAGCATACACTACTTTAAAATTAATTAATTTGGCATAATGAGACACCAAGATGTCTATGATCTGAATGTGCAAAGGTTGATGATACACACGCATCCCCAACTTATGCCCTTACTCAAGCTAAAAATAAAACCAGGTGCTTTAAACTCGAGGGGATGAAGAATTTCTTATTCAACAGAAAATACATAAAGTACTAAGATGTGAAGTACACACACATTTCATGGCCACTTCTCCACCTTCCGGAAGATGCCTGGACCATACGTAGAAGAAATTATTTCAACAAGAAGAGGGAACTGCAATGCAACAAAGATAGTTATAGGCACGCTAGCAAGCATAATAACAGGAAGAAAAGCCAAAAAAGGTGATGACTTCTGTTGCAACATGATGATTATTGCTGAGTAAAAGGCTATCAGCATAGTTGCAATTGAGAGAAAAAGTGCAGAGAGGCCTATGATCAATTTTGTAGGTAAGGAGTAAAGGAAGTCATCTTCTGCATATCGTGATGTAAGAATTCCTAAAAATGTAAGCACAGAAGAAGTAGAAGCAAACAAGGACACTGCATCTGAAATTAAGAAAACTTTGAACAATTTTTCCTTCAAAAATATTGGGTGCCCAGATGTTTGATCATTTCCACCAGGAACAGTAAAAGCTGCAGCAAACATAATGGTGACAATTAGGGCGCCAACAACTGAGCAAGAAGTTGCAGTATCTTTCATCCATTTCTCGCCTTTGTTCCTGAGTTCTTTGTGGTTTTCTCTGAAATACTCCAGAGGAGTCAACTTGTCTTTGTTATGACGACGCTCAATTCCAAGATTCACCATACTCTGTACTGCCTATATTGAAAAAAGGAAAGAAGTAGCATAAAAGTGCTGACAGATTGTATCTTAAAATATTTGTTACATCTAGGATAATGGAATTAATCTCTCATTTCCTGTTGAATTTAATCCCTCACCTGCTAATTATTAGGTCCAAAGAGGTGGGAGATGCATGATTTAATGATTTTAATTTATATGTTAATCTCCCTCACACATGCACACACAAAAGCATTTAATTTGACTTCTAACCTTAAACCACTGCCATTCCCTTTGCATTTGCAAAGCGGCGCCAGGGATGCGATAAAGTTGGGAAGGAGGAGCCAACTTCGCTGCTGTGTGCAGCAAGTTATTGTTATTCTCAAGGAACATTGCTGCCACAACATTCTTAAAGCGAAACCCATGGAGGAGGTTAAAAATCTCGGCTTGACGATATTTAACAGCACTGAAGAAAGCATTCTCCTTTTGTTGGGAAAAAGTGACCATTGAGATTAATTCCGGGTTTGCTGTTGATACCTTCTTAAAAAACTCAACATTCCCTGATTTAGCAGCTGCCAACAGTGCTTTTCCAATCATACGCTTTTTATCTTCATTCAGAAATGTCAGATTGTTACAAGCCAGCTCTAGAATTTCAATTGCTCGTGTATGACTTGCAACTTGAGCTTATGTATTTCCTTCATCCCTGAACAATTGGTAACTCAAATAAAACTTGATATTGGCCGAGTTTAATCATGAGAACAAAAATCTTAAAAGTAACTAATTTAAGTTTTGGGAAAATTTTGAGCATGCATACCGAGCAAATTATAAATGAAGGAGATGAGTCGTTGCAGTAGATTTAGTCCTATATATTGAGATGGAATTTTGTCAGTGCAATCATTCAAAAAGATTACAGGCACACACATATGTGCATATGGGTCTATCCTTTTCTTGCATTGCATCAAAGTTAGGTTCAACTTAAATGGCAACATTTGGCATCTTACGCATAAATCAAGATCAGCATCTCGTTCCCCCAAAAAAGAAAAAACAGAAGGTCAACATCACTATGCCCAAATTGATTTTCATTCTCAAATTTTATATTTTGACATAACTCACTTTCATGTATGATAAATAAAGGGAAAATTTAATCCACAAGTCCGTTTTCCTCTATTTTAAATCAAATCTGAAATTAAAATTGATAATTTTTACATTTAAGTTTGAGCGCCCATAATGGATTAAACTATGAGAGCTTAATTCCAAAAAAACAAAACTACAGATCTCTAATGGAATTAAAATTAAAGCAAATTATAACGACTTGCTGATAAATTTTTCTACATAAAATAAAATTTTCTTTACATATTTTAATATATATGTTGTACAAACGAGGTCTTATAATTAAGACTGTAGGTAGGATTAGATTTGCTATATTACTAGATTTCATCTTCCAAGCAACCGACAAAGAATATAATACCTTCGGCCCTGCTACTCATCTCGTCCTTTGATTGCATGTCTACACGGATTTGATTAGTGGCCATGGCTGGTTGTATTTTGATATCTTCCACCCAGAAAGTGATCAAAGAAATAGAGAAACTTTAGCTTCTTAAAATAGCAAAAGTGATAAAATCAATAACCAGAAGGACAAGAATTTGTTTGAAGCTATTCAATTTTTTCTGAGATTATTCTGTTTATTTCATCCTACTAAAATAAAACATACACTATCATGCACTGTCAAATATGTTTACATATTATGATTCCATGACATTTATCTATACCTGTTAGCGTTAATGAAGTTCATTCTCTGTTTTTTTTCACTTCAGTTTTAAGCTCTTTTCTTTACTCTATCATGACGAAAATGAGATTATACACAAGTGGAGTTAAAACAACTTCAACTTAAATATCATTGCTCTCATAATCGTAATTCAGTACTTTGGCTCATATATAATTAAAAACATGTAGAAAATTGTAGGAGAGAAAAAAATAGACAGTTAATAGTAGTGGCATGCACTAACAGTGATAAACCCATTGCTTCCAGAACCGAAGGTGACTTTTGTTGAGAGAATCGGAAAGATAGAATGCAATGTGCTCAATTGTTGAGTACAGATGATCAGCAGCAAAAATCAGCTCTCTACATCGTTGGAGCAAGTCCAAAGCAATACCTATTCATATGTCATAATCATCCAGCATAAGATGGAATGCCAAAAATAACAACATAAATAAACAGACAGGGAAACAAATGAAAATGAAACATATATTATGCTTTGTTAATATAATTATCAAGAAGTTATTTTACCAAGTTCTCCAGTCATGAAACAGGTTCTAAGGAACAAAGGACCCACAATGGGGTTTTCTTTGAAGACTTGCAAATCATCACCAATGGCAAAATAGAGATGACGTCCCATTTGGTTGTGGCCAATACGAAAAGCCATTGTGACAGGAATGCTCCACTCATAGTCTCCTAATGGAATTTTAAGTGCTCTGCGATTTTCTTCGACCAAGCAGCTTGCAATTGGGATGACTCCACTATATGATGCAGCGACTGCAAGCGGAGTACAACCACAAGCATCACGTATTTCAAGATAGTCTTTTGGAACTAATTTCACCAATTCCTTTACTATGTTCTGACGGCCAAACTTTGCAGCTACATGAAGAGGCGTTTCGCGCATTGAAGTTGCAAATTCTACGTCCAAGACCCTAGGATGGCTTTCAATGAATGCTTTTGCATCATGCCACTGGTCCTCAGATATATACTTGTACAAAGTACCCATCTCTAATTCTTCTGACTCTCCCCCTCTCCTCATCTCTGTAATCGCCAATTCTTGTGTCAACAACCAGCATGCAAGCATACATTAATATATGCGTGCACACACACAGACACACACACATATATATTGATTGATACGTATAGTACGCAAACATACACGCACAAATCTGATGCATAATTAAGAGAAAGGATACAGATAAATCAAGTGAGAATCAATTAATGCAAGGAATATGGGAATAATGGTTTATTAGGGTTTAATGGAGAAAACTTAGGTCAAGTTAATTAGGTTCATTATGTCCAATTAGCCACTGAGATTATGCCACCTGTATTACTGTTTCACGTCACTTAACCTGTGAAACAACTGTTTATTTGTAATGTGTCGGGTTCCAATCATCATCAAGCCAAACCCAGAAATCCTTCCTTGGAAGGATTCACTATTCAGTTCGATATAGTTGGCAAGTCATGTGAGTAAATGCAAGGGCAAACGCAAAGGCAAAATCCAAGAACTCTAGAGTGTCAGTAAGTGAAGCAAGTATAATTCTGGAGGTCAATCCCCTTTGAAAATTGAAAAGAAAGGTCAACGAAACTTAGAGTGGTACATAGATTGGAAGGAAAAGAATGAAATAAGAAAAAAGGGGGAAAACTGAAAGAAAGAAATCAGAGGAACGCTGAGACGAGAAACTTGCACGAATGGAGCAGATTGAAAGAGAAGCCAATGAAAGGTGCTAAGACGAAGCAGCAGAAGAGAAGAGTGAGAAAGAAGAGAGGAAGAAGCAAATGTGAAATGCTTTCTTATAAGAGGGTAGCCTAATCCAAGGAAAACATGCTGTAACAAAAAAAAAATGCAATACACTAAGAGAGAGGGTGCTGAGTTTTAAGCTGCATTGGAAGTTGGTTATGTAAATTTGCAACGAGTGGATGAAAACGGTGGATAAGAGGAAGGCAAAAGAAGAAAATGATTTTGGTCGAAGGAGAGAAGTTCAAAGGAGGCTTATAAGAAAAGGGAAAGAACTGATAAGAGGCCTTTGTGCTTTGCTTGTATGGTTGCATCTATAGAAAACCATGCACACAGCAAGATGACTATCAAACTGAATCCTTCTAAGGAAGGTCTGCTTGATGATAATTGAAACCCCACCCCTTACAAATGAACGATGGTTTCTTAGGTTAAGTAATGATGTGTAATGCTAACACAGGTGACATAATCTCAGTGGCTAACTGAACATAATGGACCTAATTAACTTGACTTAAGTTTTCTCTAGGTTTAATTAGATATCTAGGGTTATGTAGTAGGATTATTATTTTTAAAAAAAGATATTTATCCATTATATTAGGATTTATTAGATTATTGATGACTCGCCATTTTGTTAGATTTGAGATAAATTAGGGTATTTTGGGGAGTCATCAAGTAAAATTGGATATTTTTATATGATTTCAAGCTTGGTTTGCTCTGTATTTGTTCACGAGAATGTTCAATTATTGTAACTAAACCTTAACTTTCGATTATTATAGCTTGATTATGGATTAGTGGGTGATAATTTTAATGTTTAGTTGCTTTAATGTTATGTTTGTTAATTCAATTGTGTGCTTGATTACCCTGAAAGATGAGAAATCCGATTGGGACAGATCTTGATATTCTAAAGGAGCCTAGCTAGGCATAGGGAATTTAGATTAGACCTTTAACTGAATAATCGTATAGAATTGAGTGAGTGTTTAAGCATTGAATAACTTGATTTTCTTGTAGAATAAAAATACATATACACATTGGCCCTATGTAGTCACATTAGGCTGGTACTCAATTTAGTCTGATAGCTAGTATGATTAAGTAATCACCTAAGGAATTAGAGATTAACATAGTTGGAATGCCTTTCACCGATTCGGAAGATACTATTAGGTAATTAAGAGTTCTATACTAACAAATATAGCTTCTTTTTGGGATAAAAAGACAATTAAAATACAAAGTCCATATGGTTAGTAAGCAAACAATAAAACAGCCTATGGAGTAAACTAAGGTTCTGAGTACAAAATAGACACTAAGCTTTGAACACTCTAAGTAAGTCAGGCCAAATAACTTTAACTGCAGTTAAAGAGAGAAATTAGACAAAAAGAAGTAATCATGACGCTAATAATCCAAGTCACTACATCCGCAGTTTAGATTTACTCATATTCTTAAGTATAACGTAGAGTTGTTTTCTTGTTCTAGTTAGATTTCATTTTTGGTTTATCATGTTCCAAATTGTGTTTTACTTAAATTAAGTGAAAGTGTAATGTTGATGCTTAAGCGGGCTGTTGGCATCCTCAGGATGATATTTTATTCACTCTTTATTAAAATTGTGAAATAAGTTTTATATTTTATGCCTATCAATTATTTATATTTTAATATTATGTAATATTTTAAATAACATAGGATATCTAGGGTATCCTAAAATTATCTTTCCAATTTTAGAATTAAGATTTAGATTTGAATCAGAACTATTATTATCCTTTTATTTATAGAGCTTTATAAATAGATTGTATGAAGCTTTTGATTTGATTGAATAAGAATTGCTATTTTCTTGACCTTCTTCATCTTCTCTCTGGAGCTGGGAAAACATATCGATCCCGTTTAAATCTATTTAAATTGAGAGTTGGGCCTCTTGAAAAAACTGATTTCAACATAAATGGGCTTTTAGAACCAGCCATTTTAAGTCCAAATCCATCAAACATTAACATGTTTTAGCTCACACAATATTATTTTCTCCCTTTTGTGTTTTATGTCTACCATTTTGATAATTATATTTGTTCATTTTTTCAGCTAGTATTTATTTGAAATTATTATAATCTTTTATACATTAAATGCTCAATTTCTACGTGTACTCGCATTCAAGATAACTGGTTGATTTGATTTAGTTCTGGTTATTTATTTAGACTTAATTCGGCACTCTAGTTTACTTACGTTTATTAGTTAAATTGAAAATTTCATCAGATCTTTTGTTTTTATTTTTATCTATTTGAAAATAAGTAAAAAGTATTGAAAATTTTAAAAGGGCTTACAACTTGTGGGTCAGGCTCGACCCGAGAGTTCAAGGTCCAGGCTTCAACATTAGGGATGTTTTAGGGTAAGGCAGCTTTTAGACCCAAGCTCATCAAGAGCTGACCCGTTTTCCCGCCTATGTCCTGGTTGGCAAACCAAGCATCTCTTGAAAGGAAACCTTATCGTTTCCACTAAAAACTTCAGGCATACCAAATGGGGCCTATCTCATTTATCTACGTAAGTAAATTAAAGCAGTAGGGCTGTTCATATAACTATGTATGCATGTATGTATGTTTTGGACATTCATATTCCTAAATTTCTCTGTACGTGAATTGAACTCCTTCATTATAAATAATTCCAGAAGTTCTTAAGCAAAAATGAAGTTTATTGAGGTTTATTGTCAATTTGATGTGAAATGGGGTGGATATGGGGAAGAGAGAGAAGAGGGAGAGGGATTTAACTTGGTCATCACAGACAATAAGAAAGCTCAATCTATCCAAGCTTTCATGAGATCGGGAGATCAACAAGTTAGGAGACAAGAGTCGCATGGTTCCATCCTTGAAGGTGGGAATCACGCGCACCAAACAAGCCCAAGTTTTAGCTCTCTAGTCTCACTTAATCCACTTCCTAAATAACAAACAGCGAGATTCTGATTTGTGTAACGTAAAGCACTGACCTTGGGGTGGAGAGCTTGGTGCATTATTATTGTAGATACGATAGAGAATGTCCCATGCATCTTTGGCTTCAGAGACCCCTCTTATATGAGAGTGATTCTTAGGCCCGCAAGAGATGCGAATGACATGCAATGCTGCGGCATTCTTTCTTCTCCATCTGCCAAAATCTTCCACATCATTTTCGTCTGGTCTTGCGATACTACTCGTCACTTCCCAAAGATCTTGAGATATTAGATAGTTCTCAACCCATTCAAACCAATCTTTTTTGCTGTTCTTCGCGAGTGGCTCTGCAACTATATCGTTAAAATTGCCCCTCCTTTCCATAACTCAACTCGATTGAAGGTGTTGTTGCTGATCGACAGTGATGATACCCTCTGTAATATAGCCGCTTCTGTCTTCTGGGGTTTTGTAAAGTAAGCGCTAATCTTTGACCAAAAAGGAAAAGGTAAGCATTAATCATATCTCTATTTCGGATCGGCCGATCCAATAATGTAAAAGATAATCCGTCCATTTGGCATAATCCATGATGAAAAGTAAGGTAAGCACTTCGCGAGAAGCAAATAGCTTTTCTATATCTTCTGAGCCCCCATTTTATGTCTGAAGTCTGAACGTAGAGAATTATTACACAATGATAAAGTGCCCTACCATGATTTAAACTTAAACACAACACCCATATCTAAATCTTGCGCCTCTCTCTCCACATCACTATAATCAGCAATTCTTGCAGATTGAAAAATTAAAATGCACAATTCACCCAAAAACAAAAACAAATTAAAAGAAAATCTTAAGCTGTATTGACTCATCTTTTAAAATATAATAACTTTTTACTATTATTTCTATTTAATATAAATACTATATTTTAAATAATATATTTATGCTAAAAATTTAATAAAGTATCAATAGAATTAAAAAAAAAATTCTCTTTATCTTATAAACAGATAGGTTGAGCGGAGAATGTGACAATTTTTTTGGAAAATCACAAAAAAAAAGACGGTGAAAATTGGGAAATTACAAATCAGATATTTTGTCAAGAGTTCGTTGTTATTTGTCATTTAATTGTTATCAGAATCTATACAAGTCTTGTAACAGGTCCCCAATTTATAATTTCACAATTTTCACAGTTTTTTTTGGCAATTTTTCTAAAATTTTTCTAATTATTTCTGAAACATTCTTTATAGTCACTTTACTTTTTGGCTTTTACTTCTTTTTTTTTTTTTTGACCAGGTATTTTTTGCCTTTTGAGTGGTAGCCGAAAATGACGTTAGAAGGATAAAAACAAAACTGTAATTTTAAAATTATTTTTATAGTATATAAAATAAATATGTAGAGAAATTTATTTTAATTTATAAAAAA